GCATTCCTGGGCTATTTTGGCAGATTCAAACCTGTTTTTCCCATTTCAGAAAGAGTACAGATTATTGTTGTCTTCAGTAAATTATACAAACATCAAAATATTACAGTTAGTATGTTTGCATCCTAGAAGGATTTCATTTGATCATTGTATCAATCTCAGTATGCATGAACCAACTTGAAAGCTATTTTTCATTATTTCTTTTCTGTGTTTGATTTTGCTGCTTTTATTTTTTCATAGCTTTATTGAGATATTATTCACATACCATACATTTAACCCATTAAAAATCCACATTTGGCTTTTATTATATCCAGTGTTGTATATATGTTGCCACAGTCAACTTTAGAACATTTTCATTACTCCGAAAAATCCTGCACCCCTTAGCCATCACTTCCTAATTCCCTCATCCCCCAGCCCTAGGCAACCACTAATCTACCTTCTCTCTATATAAATTTGCCTCTTCTGGATATTCATATAAATGGAGTCATACAATGTGTGGCTGGCCCATGTTGTAGCATGTATCAGTACTTCATTCCTTTTTATGGCTGAAAATGTTTATTCATTTATTGATGGATACTTAGTTTCCACTTTTCAGCTATTAATAATACTGCTAGAAACATTCATGTACAAGTTTTATCTCTTTTTTATATATTCCTAGGAATGGAATTGCCAAGTCATATGTTTTATCTCTTTTTTATATATTCCTAGGAATGGAATTACCAAGTCATATGTTTTATCTCTTTTTTATATATTCCTAGGAATGGAATTGCCAAGTCATATGTTTAACCTTTGACAAATTGCCAGACTCTTTTCCAAAGTGACTGCAACATTTTACATTCCCATCTGTAGTGTATGAGGGTTCCAGTTTCTCCACATCCTCCCCAATCCTTGTTATTTCCTGTCTTTTTTATTTTAACCATCCTAGTGGTATCACATGTGGTTTTGATTTGCATTTCCCTGATGACAAATGATGTTGAGCATCTTTTCATACGCTTTCGACAATTTGTATATGTATTTTTTAAGAAATACCTAGCAGATCCATTGCCCATTTTTTAAATTGGGCTATATGTCTAATTTATTATTGAGTTGCCAGAGTTCTTTATATATTCTAGATACAAATTCCTTATCAGATAACATGATTTGCAAAATATTTTTCCCATGATGTGGGTTATCTTTTTACTTGATAGTGCCCTTTGAAGCACAAAAGTCTTCAAATTCGATGAAACCCAATTTATTTTTTCTTTTGTTGCTTGTGCTTTTGATACTATATCCAAAAAACCAATGCCTAATGCAAGGTAATGAAGGTTTGCTCCTAAGAATTTTATGGTTCTAGCGGTCACATTTACGTTGTGATCCATTTTGAGTTAATTTTTATACGTGGTGTTCTCTTACTTTTTAAGTGCTGTGATCTTGGCTACCACGCAAGTCTAAACAGAGCCCTGAGAACATATCTCTCTGCGGAGTATAACCTTGAAACCTCCAGACACGAAGGCTTAGACATTATTGAGAATGCAGTTGACAATTTGGAGCCCAGGAGTGATAAGCAGAGATTCATGGAGATGTACCCTGCTGCGTTCTGTCCACCAATGAAGTTTGAGTTTCAGTCTCACATGGGTGATGAGGTCAGTAATTGATTATCTTAAAACTAATGAATTGTCTCTTAACTTATATTACTCTTCCCCTGCTGTACCCAGCAGTTGTAAAATTTCCCAGTTGTCTTCTCATGGCTGCCTTTGCTCGGGATCTTAGCACAGTACTCTCAACAATCAGCCTCTACCACCTTTTAAAGCAATGGTCAAACACTCTAATGCCTCCAGAGGCCAAAGAAATAGAGGTGCAAACTCACCTGGGTGTAAGCGCTAAATAAACTGTTGCAGGATAGTTAAAGAATTCTTTCTCCACCTCCAGACATTCAGATTTAAGTTCAAAACAAAGCATTTTCTTGGCCCAATAGAATCTGTCTGAAGATTTCTTATAATCCTGATTTAAAGATCTCTGTAAAGAAAAATAATTGTAAATGGCAGGAAAATGGAAGACAGGGAAAAAGATACAAACCATTTTTTTAAGACTCAAGTTATCTCCAGACTGGTAAAACGAGCATTAGAAAGGATGTATTATATCTTAGGTTCTTTATATGAGTTTAGCTTTCTATCCTATTTTATGCAAGGGAAAAACTCCATTTAAACCATTTATGAGTTCCAGTGGTATATTTATTGTCTGTGAACAGGGGGAAACAAGAAGAACCAATAATGGAGCATGCTCTATAGCACTTGGTGTCCCAGCTGTGCAAAACAGTACTCATAGATTAAAAACTCAATTTTAGCTTATTGTGGTGACAGTATGTTTTTAAAAGTAGACGTTCTTATAATTTCCATGGCAGATTTCTTCTTTAATGTCATATTTTCTCTGAAACACCTAATGTTAAGACTTATAAGATGTATATGTATGTACCTGATATATTTCTAACCTGATTTTATTTTTGCTTGATTTGATAGAGTGAATTACTTGATTAAAAATGATAAGCAGTCTTTATGCCGATAGCACACGAATTTGACAGGCGAGTGGCTTATCCCACCCAGAGTTATGTTTCTAAAACCAAATGGTTTTAATCTTTCAGTTATGGATGGATGTGTTAAACACAGAATGATAAAATGTCCCAAACAAGTGATTTCAGTTGGGTTAAAAGTTGTTACTTTTTTTTAACTATTATTATTTTAATATAGTAAGTCTCTTGCCCTTTTTTATGGCCAGTTCTGCCGGGAAGCAATAATCTCTATGATGTCTTGGAGACTCCATAAAAGGAAACTCTCATTTGCTGAGACCATTTCTGTGATGAGAAAGATGAAAAGAAATTGTTCATTTCTAGTCTGATTTTAATATAATTAAAAGGCTCTAATTTTGACCTTATCGATAATTGAGATCATGGCCAATATATCTTTCTACCAAAGCCTAAGACAAGTGGCTTCCTCAGTTTCATGGTGAATCACATGATTTGGCTGAAAATTGGCAAGACAAGCCATGGTTGAGGATACAGAAAACTGTTATTCACTTTTTCTGAGTTTTCACTGTGTGCCAGGCAGTGTTCTAAGTGCTTTATGTACATCATCCCATTTCATCCCCACCACAGCCCTATGGCATAGGTACTCTTAACTATCCGCATTTTACAGATAAGGAAACTGAGGTTTAGTAACTTACTATAGTCACCCAGCTGACTGTAACCAGCAGGCTCTGCTGCCTGCCCTACTTTGGCCTGCATGACCGTACACTTGGATCATCCGTCACACTCTGCGCAATAACTTATTCCACAGGTAGACGGCAGCATCAGAGCTCCATCTCCAGCAACCGCCACGTTCTTAGAGGGATGCTTCCTACCGCTGCTTTTTTCCCAGTCATATCCAGGCCAAGCAGCTGCATTCTGCTCTTGCCACTTACATAACAAGTTCATATTTAAGATTGAAGTTTTGAGGTGGCTGTTAAAAGTAAAATATGTAATTGGAATCTTGAGGGGGTCCGCCTGATTCATGCAGCCTTTAAATGGGAGAACTGTGCACTGGAGGCTGGCTGGACGGCTCCCTGTTGTAACTGTGGTTTCTGATTCCCCATCAGGTGTGTCAGGTCAGCGCGCAGCAGCCGGTCCAGGCAGAGCTTATGCTCAGGTACCAGCAGCTGCAGTCCCGACTGGCCACGCTCAAGATTGAGAACGAGGAGGTGAGCATGCTTTCTGCCCTCACAGGTAAAATGAATTCTAATGTAAACTGGAAGACAGTTTCACACAACCTAAGGGAATTTAACATTGTAACTGCAATCTCTTCATCCTGCATTTTCAGCTAGATCAGAGTTCCTGAAGTACTCCTTGTGGAAGATAAATGCAAAGGTTCTGTATTCTACCATAAATGAATACTTTACCAGGGATTCACTGCATGCACATGTAAACGCACCTTTTATTCTTAAATTCTTAAGTACTGAAAGTAGTTCCCAATAGATTATCAAATTCAACATATGTGTTCAAGAATCTACATGAATGTGTGGAAAGAAATGTCTGACATGTTCATTTAATCCTAACTTTTGAAATTAGTCCTTTTTTATGCTTTTTTGTAGTTTCTAGATTTTTGGTACTGAATATGGCATTACTGATATGAGTACAAAAATCATAGTACTTGAATGGGAATATAAAACTGTTTATTTGCTGACATTACTGGATTTAAATGGATAGAACGTAAAATGTGAATTATAAATATATGTTGAGCCAGAAGGCAGTCGTACAATTCAGCCGCCTGTTTCTGAAATTGATTTATTGGATCCATGTTCTACTTAAATAAAAATAGGAACCACAAATGTTTCTTGTGTTAGTCAAGGCACTCAAATGTAACTTACAGGAACCCAAATCACACTTGGTCAAGTCACGAAGTTTACGTATTGGTCAATGTTTGCAGTAGCCTCAGTGGTGATTGGATCTGTGTCCAGATGATAGTTATCAGGAATCTCTTTTCATCACTTTGAAGTGGTATCTTCACGTGTGTTGGTAGAAAGTCTCTCCCCATGTCCTATATCGGGAGATCCAGGACTACATGGTCCCTACAGTTTACCATCTCACCTCATCCCAACATCCTTATCTCTGAAATAAGGTCTTTCATTGGCCTGACTTAAGTCATACATACTTTTGGACCAACTATTACAGCCAGGAAATGGGATTTTTTCATTGGCCAGCTTAGATCCTGTGCCCATTCTTAGAATCTTTGATTGACAGCCCCAGCAGAAATACGTATTTCTAGAGACAAACAATTTCCAAAACAACAAGTGTGGGACAGAAAGGAAAAATACAATTTGGCCTTGATAAAATAAATGGTCAAAATTCACTTTAGTACCCTCTTTTATTCTGATTCCACTGAGATGTTTTGAATTATGTGAATGTGTGTTTGTTCCTG